GAAAACATAAAATATATTAAGTGTCACATAATTTACAATTACAATTTATCAGAATTTCTATGAACCAAATTAAATTTCATACTGTAACATACTGTATAGCGGGTGAAAAACTGATTGACTTTCACACTTGCAAATATTTTGGAATCCAACTATGTATTACACAGATATGATTGAGTTCAATGAAATTGACTAAATGCATGTGAGATGCCTCAGTTAATTTGGTTTCTGAATATTCATGCTTAATAATTTGATATATAAATAGATAAGTACAGCATGCGCTATTTAAAAAGGTATTATGACCTTATCTGTTCTTGAAATGCCAAACATACAGTAAATCTTTTTCTGGGAAGGAAGAAAAGTTTCATATATCATCTCATAAGAATTCTGAGACTCTGCTTCCTTGTTCCACTTCCTGCAAAAATATCACAGGAACCAACTTCAGTATTTATCTGAAAAGGTTAGAAAATTGCTTCAAAATGACTAACTTTTAAAATAGGAAAGTCATTTTAAATTCACAGACTATTAATAACAGTGGAAGATAAGCTTTTTTATTGGAGGGAAGAAAGATCTAAAACTTGGGACTTTCAAAGTTTGGGACAAACTTTTCCTTTTGACTATATATGCCTTGGCTTCATGCAGTTTCCATTTCTATAAAAATCCACAATGCTTATAAGCAATTCATAATGCTTTTTTTTTTTTTTTTGCAATGAAATTCTACACAGTGTGTTCTTACATCTTCAAAAAAAAGCTACTAAGCTGCACATCTCCTCATTAACCTGTTAATAGTCTATTGTGTTTTTATGCTGCCTGTGAACCAAGGGAAGTTTTCTCTTCTTTCTTCAAAATAGAAATTTAGAAGAATATTAGGACTCTTTAGATATGAAGACAGATATAATTCTTCAGTCAGCATGGAAACCAAGCATTCCTCCCTTCATGCTTGAGGAAAAAACATGGACTATCCATCTTCCAGTAGGCCAGTCACACTTATTCATGAAACCCATTGTCTCCTATGATACCAGAAGAGCTGTTCAATACATACTAGGAGAAGACAAGTAGATTCTGACTATTAAGTATTTAAGGTAAAAATCCAATGCAGATACATACGGTATATGGAGCACTTCGTCTACCTAACCCAGGAATGCCAGTTACCTTGGGAAGCACAGATTCTTATTAAAAAATTAAGAATTGGTTTATTTACCTTCTGCCAAATTCTTGCTCTTCCCCCAGTTACAAAGTTATTATGTAACTTTCCATTTGCTAAAAAAGCACTAGAGCAGTAATGCCACATAAGCTTTCATTCACCATGGATATTTGAATATCTTATTAAATATCATAATTGAGCTATTTAAATAATGTAACTTTTTTTAAAAAAATTGTAAAGTGTGCTGTTAAGAGAACTAGACATTTTCCTCCATGAGAATTGAACTCATAGTTAATCCAGGGGTGAAATCCAGCAGATTCTGAAAGAACCGGTAGCGGAAATTTTGAGTAGTTCGGAGAACCAGCAAATACCACCTCTGGCTGGCCCCAGAGTGGGGTGGAAATGGAGATTTTGCAATATCTTTCCCCCAGGAGTGGGGAGGGAATGGAGATTTTGCAATATCCCTCCCCTAGGAGTGGGGTGGGAATGCAGATTTTGCAGGATCCTTTCCCTGCCATGCCCACCAAGCCAAGCCACACCACACCCACCAAGCCACACCCACAGAACCGGTAGTAAAAAAAATTGTATTTCATCACTGAATTATTCGTACTAGCAACCAAAAGACATTTTGCAACTCATTTTTCATCCCTTAGCAGATTTGTGTACAGGTAGCCCTCAAATTATGACTGTAATGGAGCTTGCCCATCACTGTATATAACTCCTGACAGTTCTAAAATAGGTCAGTCATGTGACAGACCCAATTTTCGACCTTTTTTGTGGCAGAGTTAAGTGAATCACTGCAGTCATTTACCGAATCCACAATTACTAAATGAACCAATGGCTCACTATGGGCACAGTTTTGCTAAAAACCAGAAGTAAATACAGGTTTCCAACAAAAGTGTCATAAACACAGTCTCATGACCATGGAACACTGCAAACACCTGTAAATGCGGCCCTGTTGCCAAGCATCTGAAGTGAAGTCATGTGACCACAGAGGAGGCAACCATCAGAACTTTGAATCTGAGTTGTAAGTGCTCCTTAGATAGGTCTGCAGAAGTTTGACCAGTCACTAAATGAATGGTAGTTAGTTGAGGAGACATCAGGTTGTTAATGGAAAGCAACAGTAAGATCTCCTGTAAAGAACACAATGGGTATTTATACAATTAAAGTATTGCCTAGCAGCAGGGTCAAGCACAAGTCTAATATAATAATTATAATTTAATGGAAGTGAAATTTCTGTAGTATGTTCAACACACACAGTGTGCTCCTCCAGACAATGTTGGATTGTATTATCCATCTTCCTTAACATCTGAAGAATTACATATTGACCATTCCTGACATATATTTCTAAACTATGTTCAGACCCTCTCTAAAAAAACATCCAGCCAAATACAGATTTGTAAATCTATTCAGGAATATAAATGCATGTGTATTGGACTTAAAACTCATTTTAATTCCAAGTGAGAAATGTATGAACCATCTCTTCCAAAAGTAATCTATCCTACATAATCAACAATTTGTGGTGGTCACATTTTGACCTAAATGGCATTATCTGAGTTTAAAATCCTAAGGATTTATCCTTCATGACACAGTTTAATTAATTTAAAATTAGTGAAACAAAATAATTTTGCATAATACTGAATTTAAACTGTGTACCTTTTGAACTGCAAAAACTTCATTGATAGCAATTCCAATGTATCAACTACTGACTATTGCTATTATTAATTGAACATGAAGTGTTTTGCATTTGAAATATTATAACAGACAAGCCACCAATGTATTACTTATAGTTTCCAAAACTACCATAATTGAGAAACTTCTTTGAAACTTCTCTGGTTTATTATACTCAGTTCTTCATTGTACAGAACTATTGGGAAGTTCCAGCATATTCAACACAATGCACAAGTATATCAATACAATTATAGGTGTTTCATTTCAAAACTCACTTTTTTAATGTCTAATGCAAGCTATTCTTGAGCTTTGAAAAACTGAAACAACACAAGAACACTTCAGAAACAATAAAAGCTGAAACACAATATTTGAACATACTGTACTATATAGTGATTTAATACACAGTTAATTATTCTTTTTCACAACTAATTTACAGGAATATAATAGATAAATCAACTCAGAAACTCAACCAAATCTATGAATCTTTTAAGTTTCCAGTAGCATTCCCCTCATGTCAATTTGGCCAGCAATAGTCTCATGATGCAATCTTTATCATATTTTGAAAAAAGCTTCATTTAATTACTAAATAATTAACATTAAATGAGAGATAAGAGCCAGTTTGATCTAGAGATTAAGGCACTAGGCTAAATGCCAGGAGACTGTAAGTTCTAGTCCTGCCTTAAGCATGAAACAAGGCTGGGTGACTTTGGACCAGTCACTCTCCCACCCAATCCTCTTCTCAGGATTATTGTGGGGAAAATAGGAGGAAAAAGGATTAATATGTATGCCCATTGCTTTGAGTTACTTATAAAGTAATAAAAGGTGGGATTTTTAAAAAAAAAATCAAAAAAATAATATACATAGAAAGTTTCCTTTCAATCCAATTATTTAACACATCACTAAAACGGGTACTGTGTTCTTTAGTTCATTTAATTTGTTTCAAGCAGAAGTAGGAATAATATATATTACTTTAATAATTGTGTAAGTATAGATTTAACTTCTTTATTGCACTGTAATAAAGCATAACCATTACATGAATTAGATATGATACGGAAACAAATGGAAAACAAATGTTTTTTGAAATTCCACTAAGCGAATATTTGTTATAAATAAATAATGTGCATGCTTTCCTCTGGAATTAAGAAGGTTTGGTGTTAACTGCTAAGCCTATTCACTGCTCTAAATTGTTCACAAGGACAAAAAAGCTATCAAAGTGTATTATTTTACATGCACATGAATGAACTATAATTCAAATGGATTAACTATCTTTACTTGTTGTGATTGTATGTAGGTAGAAGGAATAAACAAGGACAAAAAGCAGCTTATTCACCTGCACCTAGAATAATATACCTTCAGTTATATATTGAACACAAACAAATACAATCTAAAACACATAGCAAATGAAAATGTAAAAATTGGCATAGATATTATAAAATATAAGCTTGCAAAAAACAAAATTCCAGCATTTCTCAATATTTTATTGCATTTATGTGCATTTCATGAACAAAATAAATAGCAATTTATAAACTAAAGGAATCTGATAAACATGGTAAAAAGATTAAAAACATTTACAAATCCAACTGAACCAGGAACTAAGCCCTATTCAACCCACTAGGACATATTCCAAAGCATGCATTGGATTGGCTGTATACTGTTATCTCTATTCAAAGTTATTCTGTCAATAAAGTAGTAGAAACATGAATAATTCATATGGCAACTAAAAGCTTAACAACTGAGTTTTATAAATTATAGTCTTTTCTACAAGGCTAAAATATTGTTTTTATGGTAGAATAAGTACTTTCCTTCAAATTAGCTATCAATTTAGTTGTGAGCTATGTTTTAAAAGTGGAAAATAAAAAAAAATCCTTATCTAACTGATACTTAGTTCAATTGTACAAAATACAGTCTACATTTTTTACTTATTCATATGCCTGTTATTCAGAGCTATACAGAGATTGATTGCATGGAATAGCACCTGTGATATTTCTGATGGACTGGTTAATTTTTGCAAAGGCAGCACTTGCATCGTCAATATTGCTAAAACATCCAATGATTTATACTTATAAGAGTAATATTAAATGTAAAGTCACACATAATTATATATCAAACACTACGAAGTAAATTGCACAAATGCTAAAAAAAACCCTACTCAAAAATAGTAAAAATGGTTAAAATACAATCAGCTCACCAAAAGAATCAATACAGGTATCAATAAGTTCATCTAGGCTGACTCCCTTGCTTAAGTAACCCAACGACATCATTATGCAGAATTCAGTAGTTTCAGCAAGATCTGGAGATCAGTAGCTGCCTTTGGATCAATGCTGCATCTTTGAAGCGTTCCTAAAGAAAGAACAGGGGGAGAACTCCAGTCACATGATAGAATAACATTTCACAAAAGCCTCTGCAGCAGGTTGAAAAATAAATCAGTTGCCAGGATCACAGGAATTGGGTTACTGAAACAGTCCCCTCCCACTTAGAAAATGCATCAAAGGTTCCCCCTTCTGTGGACGATATTTCCTTCCATAAATGTACTCATTAGTCCATGTTTTCTAAAGAGCCACATGTGGTTCTTAAGGCACACAAAGCTCTCTATTACTATACAACCATCAGTAATCTTTATCCATTTTCTTTAAGTCTTTAAGCATATACAAGAAACTGTAAGAAAATGAAGAAGCATTAAGTAACCAAAATCATAGCTTCCATATATTAGAATGCATACATTGCGCTTAGTCACAGTCCCTTTACCTATGAACAAATTTTTAAAAATCACATTTAATTAATATACTAAAGCATAACCTATCATAATAGTGAAGTTCACACATGATATGCTAAAACTAAACCAAGCACCTTGATTTAATATACTGTATGAACTAATCATACAGAATCATAGAACTGGAGCAACTTCATTTACAGGTAGCCCTTGATTTATGACTGTAATGGAACCTGCAATTTTGGTCATAAGTTGTAACGGGGCTGTCACATGATCACACCCGATTTTACAACTTTTGCAGCAGTCCTTAAGCAAACATAGTGGTTGTAAAGCAAATGTATGATATCATTAAACAAATTCTCTATGGGGCATTTTTTCCAGAAATCGGAAATAAACAGTTCTCTGGGAAAACATCATAAATTGTAAGCACATGACTGTGGGATGCTGCAAATGGCCATAAACGTAGGCTAGTTGCCAAGTGGATATTGGGAACTTCAAATTCAGATCATAAGTTCCTTTTTCAAAATACATTGTAACTTTGAATGGTCGCTAAGTGAATAGTCATAAATTGAGGATTACCTGTACTGTAGTTCAACTTTTTGCCATTAAAACAGACCACTAGTATATAATCCTTGAGAGGTAACCATCAATTTTCTGCTTAAAAACCTCCAGTAATGAAAAAACCATCTCTATCTGCTTCTTTTTTTAAAAAATTTTTTATAATTTTTATTATGGTTCAAAAAAACAAAAACAAATGTATAATTGTTTTTCTATCACGGTGTAACATCACCAAAATATCCATGTATATATACACCAATAATCAGAAAGTAAAAATAGAAATTATTTACATATTCTTATATACAAATTTACATTTCCAATGTTTATTGATTACCATAATTATACCATCATCTATAATTATAATCTATCTGCTTCTTAATAACTTGTATTGTACTACCAACCCCCTCTTTTAACATCTGATTCTGTTGGATCAGATTTCATGTTTCATATTAAAAGAAAAGATCCAAGTTATCTAAATAAATTAATGTGTAAAATATGGATTGGGATTGTGTGGTCTGAATGCTTTTCAACATTGTAATCTACTTAATACTTCTGCGGAAATACTAGTATAGGTTTCACACAACAAAAATTTGGGTATCTGACAAAAACTGAAATAGCTTTTGGTAAGATATTATTCTGTCTTGCCAATACAGTGTAAAACAGTCATAGATCATGTAGACATCTACTTATCTTTACTTCCTTATGTCTAGTAACCATAAAGATATAGTAAGTCAAAAGTATGTATGAGCAGGAAGCTCAGGTGAGACTCAGCTACGTTGGCAAGATTCAGAGTCTCAGAGATGGGACACTGTCCTTGATGGATCTACCAAAAGGTGCCCTTTCCAAAAGGAAATGAGCTTTCTTGGGGGTTTTTTCCCAAAATGTTTCACTTCTGAAGAAATTTTTTGGATGAGAAGCAAAATATTTTGAAAGAAAAAAAACAAAAACAGTTATCTTTTGGAAAAAGCACCTTTGGACAAACATGACCTGATTAATTGAGACTATCCATATACATTGTCCTTGATGGGGAAAAATGAAAGTCAGTGTTGTCCAAAAAGCCTGGCTTTCTTCACAAGTATTGAATAAGGTCCAGATGATCTCTTTATGCAATGTACTTTCATTGTATGCTAAATGCATGCTAAAACCTAAGGGCTCATTTAAACAGGTAGTAAGTAACTGATAACTTACCTATGTGCAAAACATATGGTTGCACAGTTACCCTAGGTAATTCAGGACTGACACCAGATTTATTCAATTCTGTATTTCTCAGTTTTCGGCAGAAAAATCCAAATCATTTTTCTTTCTATGAACTGAGCTGAAGGGAAAATATCTTGATGAAAGGGTTAAAGAACCCCCACCCAGAAATGTTGGTAAGACATCCTGAATTAGAACTCAACTCTTAGTGACATCCATACAATTTTTTTGGCAATGTCACAGACTTTTTTTTTTTTTGCTATTGTCTTCTTCAAGGCTGCTTATGTACTTCCCAGAATACCTATATTAATCCATCATCTATTCCAGGTTTGATCGTGTTTAGCTTCTAAGATCAGCAAAAGTCAGCTATGCCATCTTCTACCGGGAAAGCTTTGAAAGAAAGTATATTCTAGCAAGATTCTAAACATTCTTTCTAGTTTGTAGCATAATAATTTGAGGAATGCTCATTTAGTGAGTTCTTATCTGCTTTTTACAAGGACTATTATTATCTATTATCTTACTGCCTTTTGAAATGCTGCTGGTTTATTGTTTATGTCATTTACTATGTACTGTACTTTTAGTAACTTCATTCTATTGTATTTTACATACATTATTCTGTTTTAATATAGAATCATTACCTAGAAGGCTATTATTAGTTTTCAAAAAATAACTAATAATTGAGCAAATCACCAGGCACTGATAGGAATTGCTTTTCATTTTATCCTCATGAAAAGTGTAAATTGATTTGATAGAAAGTGATTAGTTTAGTTTAGTTTAGTTTAGTTTATTTGATTTGTATACCGCCCTACTCCCGAAGGACTCAGGGCGGTGAACAGCCAAGCAATAAAATACATAAATACACAAAATTTAAAACCAGATAAAATCAAATTAAATCATTTTGGCCCAGACAGATTAAAACACCCCAATAATTTAAAAACAGATTAAAATTTACATATTAAAAGAGGGAGGAGATTAGGCCAAGCCCACTTGATGGAATAAAAAAGTCTTCACAGCGCGGCGGAAGGTGCGCAGATCCGGAATCCTCCGTATCTCTGGGGGGAGCTCATTCCAGACGGTAGGTGCCCCCACAGAGAAGGCTCTCCCCCTAGGGGTCGCCAGCCGACACTGTTTGGCTGACGGCACCCGGAGGAGTCCCTCTCTATGACAGCGTACTGGCCGGTGGGAGGCTATTGGTGGTAGTAGGCGGTCCCGTAGATAACCAGGTCCTAAGCCATGGAGCGCTTTGAAGGTGGTAACCAAAACCTTGAAGCGCACCCGGAAGACCACCGGGAGCCAGTGCAGCTCGCGCAGGAGAGGTGTCACATGGGAGCGCCATGACGCTCCCATTACCACCCGCGCGGCCGCCTCTGCGCCAGTTGGAGCCTCAAGGGGAGCCCCATGTAGAGAGATTAGCCCAAAGCTCACAATGCATTTCTACAAGTAAGGATAGACTGAAGTCTGGATTGTCCCAATTCCTGTGTTAGTTTATGCAATAGTAATTACCCTAATTTGGCAACTACTGTACCAAATATGTAGACAATTTTTTAAAATAAAAGATAGATTCAGTTATCAATTATAGAAAGAGCTGGGATACTGAGTGTAGAGGAGAGGAGCTCATAAACTCTACAGAGTTATTTATTACACTGTTTTTGGTGGAAGCCAAGTCAATGTTTATGTTAATGTGCCCTTCTGAGTGGAAAATTTGCACACAAAGAACAACCAAATTTTTAGACACATGCTTAGAAATTCTAGAAGGTTTTGCATGGCTAATTAAGAGTGAGAGTGCAAAAACATCCAAGATAATACACATTAGCCTCTGTTCTGAAATGCTGGGAACTGAGCTTGGTGTATGTGCATCCATGTGTGTTCACAAAGTGTAAATTTAGTAGCATTTCTTCCCCATATTTTGTAAGGTTCAAACAAGTTTCTCCTAAAATCTGAGAACATTTCTAAAGCACCTTGAAAAGCTAGCTTCTCACAGGTAGCTCCGATGTGTCTATCAAGGAAAGCATTTTCTCCATTTCCTACCTTAAACTCCTATTGGGGGGAAAAAAACTGAAGAACTCATTGGCAAACATTGTTCAGGGATGTCTTCAAAGGGACTCAAAAGTTCAAAATGACAGACGCAACTATGTTATCAAAGCTCCGGCCCTTTTAACATGCATTGCATAGATAAAAAGGGGTGGTGGGACTTTGATCAGCCCACCTGCTTCTATGTTTTAATATTGTTGAATCTCCCCTCCCATGACACCCCTGATGCTTTTTTAGTATTTCTAGTCTCACATGGGACTTATGGAAAGCTTACCCAGACTCCTCCCTCCCTCCCTTTTTCCAGGGAAATAAAAATAATAACTCCCTAAAAACAAAAAAGAATAAAAACTGGTAAAACATTGCTGTACATGAGCTGACCTGGCAGAGTCACCTGACAAAATATTTCATGCATCACTATAATGAAATAAAGAACAAGTAGACATAATATCTGATTATGTCTGTGCATGTTTATTTTGTTAGTTACATTACTGCAGATAGATTGCAGAGAACTGCCTAGTTAGAAAAAGAAAGACAATCCCAGCTTAAAAATAGGTAACAAATTTTGTCTTCCACTCTATATATCTTTTTAAGCCCCACATTTCAAGTCAAATGTGCTTGATTTCAACCCAATGTCTGCTTAGATGTAAACCCACAGTGAAGGATACATTCTATAGCAGGGGTGTCAAACTTGTGTCGTCACGGCGGCGTTAGCTGATGTACGGGATTTTTTCCCCTTGGCTAAATTAGGCGTGGGCATGGACAGCACGTGATGCCTCTGGCCTGCGGGCTGAGAGTTTGACAGCCCTATTCTATAGGATACAGCAGAGCAGTGTTTCTCATCTCTAGCAATTTTAAAATATGTGGACCTCAGTTCCCAGAATTTCCCTGTCAACATGTTTTAGCCCTTTCCCCCTCTTGTCACTGGGCTCCTTTCTTCAATATTATGGCTTATTTATCCCGTCTCCTGTACTACTGTCTTTTGTTCTCTTCAAAAAGAATATCATAGCCAGTCTGTGGGATTCAGCTCATTAACAAGCCCTTAGCAACCCTTAAACCTACCCTTTCTTGACTCATCTGCCCATTGCTTTCCATCCTCTGAATCTTTATGAGTGCAACATATTACCTGCTAAAAGCTATCCTTCCGGCAATCATTGCCAGGAGACATTAACATTTGAACATGCTAAACAAGCAGACAAGCACATTATGGGAACCCAGCACAAATGGTTTATGCAAGCTTGGATAATTGGTTAACTGAGTAAGCCATAATCAAGTTAATCATGGGTACCACTTGTGTTGTGTGAACTCAGTTACTGGATCATAATTCAACTGGCATAGCATCTCCCAGAAAAGCAACATTCCTTAAGGAAATGTTTTAAAAAGTGATACACAGCAATAATTATTTCTACATTTCATAAAAACCATCTACATCTACATTTTAGCACCTGCAAAAATAGGAAAAAAATTACCTTAAAAAGGATTACTTTTCCATTAAGTATTGAGGAGTCTTTTACAACTAGGTCCCTAAATAATATTCAGAACTTTTAAACCTGTTTTAAAGTAATGAGTACAGAACTTTATTACAGATGTATCTCCATGACAAGTTAGCACAGCAGTGCAGACATTTTCCAGTGGGTTTTTATTGTCCCAGATGTGTTGAGCAGCAGCTATTATTGCTTCCTGTCAATACAGCCATACTAGCGAGTTAGATTCTTGCAGTCCTAGAATCAGAAAGTCTCCTTTAAAGCAGTTCCAAAGAGGCAGCCTAACAGTATAAACCATTCTTCCCATTTCGTTTTTTTTTTAATTGCAATATTAAAAATTCTACCCTACGAAGCACATTCACCACCCGTTCAAAAACAGTCGGAACAGAGAAAGATGAATCTTGCTTGATGACTGCTTGCTCCCGGCTGCCCATCGGCTGCCAAACCACCATCTGGTTGTGTTAAAAGACGCCCCAGTCCCAAAACCAGATGGGAAGAACCGCGCTGACCAATGAAGGGAAAGGAACAAGTCCCGAAACGACGGGGAGAGACAGTGGGGGAAACTTAAGGCAGACAAAACTTACCGGCTCCGACTCCTTTCGTCTCAGCCTCGTTGGTTCGGCCGAAGAACCATGCCGAGCGCAGCACATCCGAAGCCAGGATGGACTTGCCGGGGCATTCCTGCCTCTCACCGCCGAAGCGAGGAGAGGCGAGCTCGTCAGGCGGACCGCCGAGGGGGGCGGAACCGACGAAAACTTTGCAGGCACGAGGAAGTAGCGGAGCGGCTCGACCCTGGCCGACGTCTCAGATTTTCCTCGTGCGCGCGGCTCTCCCAACTGCTCGGGGCGGAAGCGCCCACCACGTGTCTCTGCCGCCCTGGGTTTCTTGAGCGTCACCAGGTGCCCCTTCAGCCTGGAAGGCGCTCGCGCTCGGCCCGGGAGGAGAAGGGCGCTTTGCCCGCCGAGCGGCGAGGCTGCAGCAACGGGGTCTATGCCTGCCGACTGGGTTTTTCCCCCCCCCCCCCCGAGCCATTATTAGAAGGTGGAAAATAGGAATGCTTGCGGTGATACAGATGTTGGCATACCGGTTCTCCACGTCACGCCTTCTGTACTCTAAAACAAAAGCAGTACCAAATAATCTTCCCGTTCTTACATATCCGGGGGGGGGGGGAAAACCGCGTGTAATGGAATCTTGGAGAAGCCGAGGTCTCAGCCCAGCAACCCGTATTTTTCTAAGTTCCTCCCCCTTTCAGTGTTATGTTACTTTATAATGGTGTATTTTAGATACTTTTGTTTCTCATTTAGCTCATTCTTAGTTATAAATAAGTATGCTAGGTTTCAGGAACTTTATTATAGACTTTTATTTAGCTTATTAGCTATTTTTAAATATGGTCGCTCAAGTGAGGTAAAATGGTGCAGGCAAAGATTCTGAATGGGTTTGAACAACATGGGAAAAAGAAACATCCTGGCATCAGTTTGGGATCCTTTTTCATCAAATCTGCTAAACGGCCAAAGATAGAAGAATATGTTTTACAAAAAGAATCTGTAATAAAAACAAAAAAAATTTCCTCTCACCTTTAACAAGTTTGCAGCCCTTGAATCACTTGAATGGAACTTCAAACAGAACTGAAAAACACAACAGCTGCTAGATATTTCATTACCTGGCAGGCAAGAGCTAAATTAGAATCAGGATTCTCTCCCCATTTCTCACTCTGTTTATAACTTGCTAATTCACCTGCTAACCTCAAGGGACCTTAAAAAAATAAAAGCTTAAAAGTAAGATGCAAAAGCAAACTACAGAAAGACTCCCACCAGAAAATTCAATGGAGTTTAAACCCAAGCTGTTCTCTCATTATTTGAGCAGCTCTCAACTATAAAATATGATCTGGAATTCCTGAAAAAAGACTTTTGATGCTTTTGTTTTAAAAAATGATGCTGGACCTACCACTTCCATTAAGACTCTGCAGAAACCCAGCGACGTATTTCTGACATCCCAAAGATGCTTTTTCAGGAGGCAACTGTACTTTATTGGGGTTCTTTTGAAGATATTTCACTTCTCATCCAATAAGCTTCTTCAGCTCTGACTGGATAGTGGGGAATGAAAGGATTTAAGTGAAATTTATTTATTTATTTGATTTGATTTGTATGCCGCCCTATCTCCATAGGACTCAGGGCGGCTCACAACAATTAAAATCAAACCAGATAAAAACATATTAAAATACAAATTAAACATATGTTAAAACTCATTAAAATAATCAAACCCCATCAGTCCAGGCTGGGCGATTTAAACAGCCATGTCTTTAGTTCGCGGCGGAAAGTGCGAAGGTCAGAGGCCAACCGGAGACCCAGTTGCCCAGTTGCCTGCTGAAAAAGCACCTTTGGGACAAACATGACCTGGATGACAGAATCTCTTCTCAGCTATGCAGTTTGGGATGAACACCCTTTGAATGGTGTGGCAGTATGAACAGGTTTCCAGAAAAATTCCAGACTACAGGAACCATTAGCACTACTCAGGTGACCCTGAAGACACAGATAAACCTCCAAGAGCTTCAACAACCCTGTAAAAGGATGCAAGTGACCAGCTGTCTGCAAGGAATATAAAACCTTCCTTTTCCCACTTGGATTAGAAATGAAACGTCTTCAAAGAAAAAAACAAAGTCCAATTGCCTTCTGAAAAAGCACCTTTGGGACAACCATAACCTGGATGACTGAGAATCTCTACAGACTATTTCTGACATGTTCTCTGATAAAGGGCAAGTTGTTAAAATAAAACCAACAAAACTGCAGTTAAATGACTATTAATAAATCCTTACTCCTTGACAAGGCAAAGAGTGGAGATTCATACATACTAAACCAGAGGTGGGCAATTAATTTTCCCAAAGGGTCACATGAGAACTTGGGACTGTTGTGGAGAGCTGCTGCCCCAATGTTGCACCACTGCTGCCCTGCCCATTGCTGTTGCCCCAGGGCTGGATGTGGCTTTGGGTCATAAAGTGGCCAACTCTGTAGTAAACCCTCTTTCGATATTCCCTGCAAATTAAATTGTTCGCTTTAGATGCAACAAATTTCTCTCCATATCAGAACAGTCTCCATATTGGATGCTAGGATTCTAGGACATCAATTATAACTTTCCAGGGACTATTTCAGGGCTGTCAAACTCGCATTGTCACTATGGCATCATGTGATGTATCAGAACTTTTTCCCGCTTTGCTAAATTGGGCATGGGCATGGCCAGCACATGACACATCTGGCCCTGGGCTGTAAATTTGACAGCCCTAGACTACTACACAACACAGACAGATACCTCCTATGGCTGGATCCAACTAATCTCCCTATTGACTTGGAATATTGCTAGCTGGTCAGGACCGTGAAAAGAACAATCTTTGAATATCTAAACCTAGGCCGCCACATTAGAGATGGAGTTGGGGTAGTTACTGAGTCAATTCATTCTAGGCTATCCACGTAAAATAGGAGGATGATCCAAGAGAGTTAATGTAATTTTACGATTGAAATGTGTTCCTCTGCCTTCTTTAAACCCAGGGGTATCTGTCTTCCTGCTGTCCCTCAAACAAACTGAAATCATATTCCTTAACATTAATGATTAACATCCTCCTCCTAAAAAAAAACATGTCCAGACACCCAATATTGAAAATTTTATTCTCACTTGCTTAGATACACACCCTGCAGCGAGGGGTCCTTCATGTTCTCTGAGCTTGGTTGTTTTCTTGCAGATGTTTTATTACCCAAACTAACATCATCAGTGCTAGTGATGGTACATAGTACATCAGTGCTAGTTATTCGTACATCCTGCACCAATCAGCAATAATTGACAGGAATTTAAATACCTGGATTGGGACAAATCAGTGGTGACATCCCCCCCCCCCCCGGTTCTATCCGGTTCGCCAAACTGGTAGTGCTGGCAGCAGGAGGCTCCGCCCACCTGCCAGGATGTCATTACATGCCATTTTTTTACCATCTGTGCATGTGTAGAAGAGGTGCGTGCATGTTCCCTCATGCTCCTGTTCCTGAACCGATAGCGAAGGTAAGTGGATTTCACCACTGAGAAAAATGATTTCAGTTCAAGACCTTTCATGAAGAGGATATACCAGAAGGACCCTTAATACCTAGATAATTTAAGAAACTAAAATCTAATTGGGCAGGATTATGTGCTAGGCAGGTGACTCCCTCCTTTGGAGCTTTGCTTACTCAGTGAGTCTCAAGATGAGGCTCATCCAGCAAAACATACTGGGAGGGAAGGAGAAGATTAATAATTTGTTACTGGATCACATTGCATAATCTCCTGAATGATGTACAATGTATGGATTCATAGATTCAGAATTAGAAAACAATCATCACCCCCAATATTAACTATGACTGCCTCTTCCAATGCGGGAAAATAACACAGAGGGTGTAAATTAGATGGAATGAAAGTAGTGCAAAACCAATTGCTAAATGGCTGGCAGCATCAGAAACATTAGAAATTCATGCACACCTGCCAAGCAAATCTCAAAAACCATACTTAGTCTTGTATTTTAATCTCAAAATAGTTTTTGTCAAAGAAATAAAAGTCCAGTAATTGGGGTGTACAACATAAAAAACTCTTCGATAAGGATTGTGCACAGCTGATAAAGTCATATCATATGGCATATAGAAAAACTAAATATTTTTGTTAGAAGAGAATATATATAGTTTAGGACCCTATGTGCTCTCTTAGCTTGGTTATATGTTTACCCAACTGAGTGACATAATAGACACTAGTAAATGTGGTGTTTACATACAGTAGCTTGCCCTGTCAGTGTTGGTGGTGGTGTGGTTTCCTCCTTGGTGGTTCCTTGATTAGGGTATTGTTTCTGCTTGATTGTTTGTCTGGTGATATTTCCTGATTATCAGGGTCTTGCTTGATTATCTGGATGTTTGGTCACCATGATATAAAAAAGATATTGAGACTCTAGAAAGGGTGCAGAGAAGAGCAACAAAGATGATTAGGGGACTGGAGGCTAAAACATGAAGAATGGTTACAGGAATTGTGTATGTCTAATTTAATGAAAAGAAGGACTAGAGATGATATGATAGCAGTGTTCCAATATCTAAGGGGCTGCCACAAAAAAGAGGGGGACAAAGCACCTGAAGGCAGGACAAGAAGCGAAAGATGGAAACTAATCAAGGAGAAAACCAGCCTAGCACTAAAAAGAAATTTCCTGACAATTAGAACAATTAATCAGTGGAATGACTTGCCTCTAGAAACTGTGGATGCTCCAACACTGGAGGTTTTAAGAAAAGTTTGGACAATCATTTATCTAAAATGGTAGAGTTTTCTGCTTGAGCAGGGGGTTGGACTAGAAGACCTCCAAGGTCCCTTCCAACTCTGTTATTATTCTGAAGAATAAAAAGTTTAATAAAGTTGTATAAGTATTCATTTTGTTGGAAGGTGTTATATATATGTTCTCTTTCATTTTTTTCTGGTGTTATAGGTTGCTGCAGTGCATTTGCACTTGTCTGAATAATATTTTTACACAGCTCTTCTTGAGCAGGATTGGGTTGTTACTTTGATAATAGAGCACTTGGTCAGTGTCTATTGTTGGGGTGTTTGACCTGTGTTTCTAATTTGCCACCAGCTCCTCTATTGAGGAGGATATACAGAAAGGGTAGTATGTTGTTGTTTTCTTTTTCTCTTGTGAATTTTATTACTTTGAATATATTATTAATTGTTTCATGTATCTTCTCCAGTTGTTCCTTTTTTATTACAGCAAAAGTATTGCCTACATACCAGACCAGGTGACTTAGTTCACTTAG